TTTGTTTAAAAATAGTTGGAAGGGGTCGGATCAATTAACTACCTTGCAATAAAGCACTCCATAAGAAAGATTGCCAGAAGAGACCTGTGAGCTTGTGATCTCTGTTTTTGCTTGTATAATTGTGTACAGAATGGCTCTTTTGAAACCAGGTATAAAGGCTTTGATTATGGATTAATTTACTGTGGAGTACATAATAGCCTTGATAATTCATCATCCCTGTGTCCATTTGAGAATAATTACATTTCTGATGTTATTTTTCATATTTTAACAAATTTTGCATAGAAGGCTTGCTCGTAAGTGCTGTGGATGAAAAGTAAAGAGATTCTGTGTTCCTTAAATGCCAAACTTCCATTCTTTTCCAACTTGATTTCTGCTAAAAGTGAAGATACCTCAAATTTACTGGAAGCTGAATCCAGTGTGATAGAACTAGGTGACAGTAAGACTAGTTGGCTAAAGTTTCACCAGTGGTGAACAGTTACGTTTTTCTTGGCTGTTTTAAAAAAAGAAGAACAAATTGTCAGCCACATTTCCTGTTCTCCATTTTAGAATATGGCGTAAAACCTGTGAGAGTCTTCAGTCCCAATGGTGTTAGGGTCTCCAAGAAAATATACTACCAAATCAAAAGAAAGTTTATTGGAACTAATTTCTTGCCCTTTAGTTTTTCAAAGTTTTCTTCAACTTCCTAGCCAGCTAATAAGAAGACATTTTGTATTTTTGGAATTGTATTTGTATGGTTGTTTTTTATTATTGGAATAAGCCTGTGAGAGTGATGTTCATTACTGCCCCAAGAAACTTGTCTGAATATACAAGAGTGGGTATGTTGCAAGCCTTTTTCAAGAGGGATTAGTAATTTTGAAGTTATTGCTGAATGTTAAACAATGCCCTAAAAAAATATCCTTAGGTAGGCACTAAAAATGGAGAAATCTGATTGTTTTTAAAACTTGAATCACCATTAGTTTACAGTTTTCAAATGCTTGACATCTTCTAAGGTCTGCTTAGCAATGAAATAAGCATAGAGAGAAATCTTTCTGCTTGAAAACTTAAGGCTGAAAACATGAGAAATGCACTATGCTTGGAAATTATTGCAGTCAAATCCTGGTAATAGCGTTGAGGGGTGAAGTTCTCAAGATTATAAAAATATTTCTGGATTTCAGCTCTACCTTTGCAACTGTGAATATGAAATTTAGTAAAAATCTTAAATATCTTAATTTAGAGAATAGTTATTCTTTCTTTCTTTTCTTTTCACAGCATGCTTTTATTAACAACTGCCTTACTTTGCTGTAGGTAGGTGTTTTGGAACAGAGCAAGAATTTTGTCAGAAAAAGTTAAACATAAAAGGATGTAAAAGAAAAGCAAGTTTTGATCAGTTGTAAAAATATATATTCGATACTGTACTTTCAACCCATTCCAGCACCTCTTAAATCTTTCCTGCATCAGCCACTTTCCTTTCTCCATTGCTTTTAGAAAGAAAGTTTGAAAACCTTATTTTTAGTTTTCTTTGTTTGAAAGCTTTGTGATACTAAAGAAAGAGAAAGAAAAACATTAACTAGGCAGTGATAGGCCTTATGCAGTATAAATGGACTTTTTACTTGATAGTTTGCAGTTTGTCTACAAATCTGCATCTAAGCTACACTTGGGACTGCCAGTTGCAATATATTATTCCACCTACCCTGTGAAAATAGTTGCAAACTGAAATCCTAGTCTCTTCAGGATGCCTCAACTGTTGTAAAATACAACTAGACATAATGTTCAGGTGAAAGTAAAAGAATTAAAAATGTGAATGTCATGTTTTTAAAACTTACTCATCCTTAAATTCTGCAAGTGTTTGAATGAAGAACTGCAGAACACTTCTAAAATTTATAGCTGATGTCCTGGGAGATGTTTAGAGTAGTTTTCCTCTGTGAGGAGTGATTTCTTGTTTTCCCCTCATGTTAAGTATTTACTGTGGAACCATGTATTGTCAAAGTTATTTTTAGTCCCTTCCAGCTGCTTTCTGTGTTGCCTTGGCTTTCTGTTCTCAGCATATCTCAAAGGGTGCTGTTTTGACAACCTTTTTCTGTCTGTGGTGTAGACTTTTTAAAAATGTTGGTGACTGTGTGTGCCTACATTATGGTATGGTAATTAATATTGTATTATCCTGGATAGTCCAGACCTGAGAAAGCTCTATTAGGTCACTTCTTCATCTATTTACATAATAATTAGTACTTAGAAATGTTTTTTTCCCTCTTTAGTTTCTCTGCAAGTGTAAAGTAGAACTTGTGTATAAGCTGTCATATAATAAGTTAATTGCTGTACGTTTCAGTGACCTGCAACACTCCAAGACTGCGCTTCTCCTTTAGAAACTTAGGCCTGTCCCTGGTATAATATTTGTCTTGTATTATTGTGCCTTCAGAACTGTAAAATTTTGTACCAAAGACAAACTTTTTTAACAGTTGTACTTTTTAGTTTTTTTTGTGCAGCTGCTTTCAGAATAGCTTATAGGCTTGGTACATTAGGTGTTGTTCGGAAGGACTGGGATATTTGTTTTACATCTATAGCCTATGAAAAGGTGAGCATCTCCTTTGTTCATGGCTATAAAATAGAAACAAAGCCAATTCTGAAATGAGGAATTCTTAAGGTAAAAGGCCATGTCAGTTACTTCTCTATGTGATTTATACCTCTGAGCTATACAGTACAGTGTAAGTTGAAATATAGCGCAGCATGAGAGACCACCTAGGAGTTCATAATGACTCAGTCTAGAAGGTATCCTTTAGCTTTGTTGTGTAAGTGGGGTTCAGGTAGTTGTCGCACAAGTGCAACTGTATTTGCCTGCTTCTTTAGCAAAATTGATATTAGCTGAGCATTATCCGTAATAGGATACAGATAACTTGCCTGTATTCCAAATTCCAGGAATTCTGAATTTATCCATTGCACTGTCCCATCCAGTCATGGTATTATAGGAAGCGTACTGATGATTGTCATCAGTATGTAAAATTCATCTTAGAATATTTTTCTTCCCAAAATTCTCAGATGCTCATATTGAACAGGATAGGTGAAGGGCACTATCAGACTGAGGAGAACTTGTCTACTGTTGTTGCTTGTCTCCTCAGAAAGATGAAGCTGTGTTGTGCATACAGTTACTGGTTACACTGGTCAGATGCTACTGATGTAGGGTGCTATGTAGTGTTGCGTTTATCCTGTAGCTTTGTCACGCACAGCTCTTGAAAAGTAACTGCAATATGGAACTCCACCTTGTACTGAACATGAGGTATGAAAAACATCAGGGCTTTTGTCTGACCAAACTGAATGCGGGCACGATTACATCAGATGATGTGTCTGTGATACTGTTACCCTCCTCCAACCAAAGTATGTCGTGTTGGTTTTCACTATTTGGGATTAATCTCTCACTTTTCCTTTGCCTGGTTAGCTGAGGGTTTTTTTTTGTTGTTTTGTTTAGTTGCTTGGCTCTAATTTATGTAGTGTTTGGACTCACAAGTGTCCTGTGGGTTCTCCATTTTATTTGGAAACATTGCATTTTAAAATCTAAACTAAAAGCTATCAACACATTTTGTTTGAAATGTTTCATATTTATAGTTCCCTAAAATTCTGTTTTCTTTATCTTCCCAGTCACATGGGAGCCTGGAGGGAACACACACATATCTCTAATGCCAGTGTTGCAGATTAGAAATAGTTTTCCTCCACCAAATGCTAACAGCTGGTTGGCTAAGTTTCCCAGCTGAAGATGCATTGTATAGTATTTTCATTTTCCCTCTGTTGCCAAATGTTAGTGGATCAAGCTCTGCAAGTTTAAAGTTGTAAATTCTGTTGTAATACTAATTACACTTTAACTGCATTTCTGTGAGGCTTTCCACAACTCCAATCAAGCACCTATTACCCCATTTTGCAGATAAATAAACAGAAGGAGAAAGTGGTTGAGGGAGGTGCTTTGTGTTGATTTAAATGACAGTGAAGATAATCGGCACTGCTGTAGGCCAAATATTATTCAGACAACATGAAGATGTAATGGCATTCAAGAGAACAGGTCTTGTAAGTTGTCCCCCCGGATAAACCCCTAACCTTTGTTCCTTTCCTTTAGTTGAAGTAATTCAGTGCAAATACCGTGGAAAATCTCTTGTTGTCATATTGAAATGATAGTAATTGCATATTGAAATCACTGTCATCTTCACTTTTCACCTGTGGTGGAAAATGTCTAAACATTGTATTTCAAGAAAGAAAGCATTTATAGCAATATTTTTCAAAATACCAATTTTTGTAATGCTGCGAGTGGACAGTATTATATACAATGACAAGTTCTTTCTGAACTGAGTAGAATATCATATAATAGCTCTTCTGTTTTTCCCCATCTTGAAGTACTCAGCAAAACTATCTTACCAACTTAGAAGTGAATCTGGCATTTTATTTTATTTTGCAAACTCTTTCATAATGTCTGGCAGTTAAAGTGGTATTGCCTTCATATACATGATCCATAATGTTTATGTTTTGGCATAAAAGCTGAAGCAACTAGTGCAAAATCTGGAGGGACCCGAGAGTTAATAAAATAACAAATGGCGGTTACGTTCATGTGGAAATAATTATATACTGCATTTTTAATTGCATAAAATCAATGTATTGTTTTTTTATTAATACAGTAGGCTTGCTGGTCATATAGGGATTAGTGTCTTGTGTGGTGTAGACCTGCAAATTAGTTTGTTACCATGTATTATGTGATATGATGGGGATCAATTTCAGGAATGCCTTAAGAATATGCTCTAAACAGAATCCTTTCTACACTGATTGTACCAGATGGATTAATCCTGTTGCCATATGGACTTGAAATTGCCTATGCAAAAGAAAAATCTAGATAAATGGTAACTCATTTAGTACTCTGTGGTTTGTGTTTATGGAAAACAGAATTCCTCAGGATCTTCTAAAGGAAAACAAGAATATGCCAAATGTAATTTCAGTGTTGAGTGTTCATGGATGGTAAAATTATACTTAACAGACATTTGTAATTTTTGCAGGTAATAGCTCTAGCAGATGCAGCAGAAGAAAATCAAGCCAACATATTCCAGGCATTCACAAAGTTGAAAAGTGCCACCCATCTGGTGATTATGCTGATTAGTCTGTGGCAGAAGCTCAGCACTGATCAAGTTGCTATTCTGGAAGCTACGTTTTTGCCATTAGCAGAAGATACACAAGAGCTGGTAAGAATCTGTAAGAGCTGCTCAAAAAATGCTCATTGACAGAGCTTTAAGTGCTTAAATTCACATATTTCCCCACGTACTTTGTTGAAGACTGTCCTTTGAAGTGATTTAGTAGCCTTATTAAGTAGGTGTTTGATGCAAACTACATTGGTTTCACAGGAAAGTGGGAAAGTAGGAGTAGATTATAGAATGTTTCATGAGATGATATAAGTGATACCACTTAACATCTGCTTGAGCCTTACTTATCAAGCCAAGTAGGAGTGTCTCACGTAAGTTTAGCTGGTTTTAGCTTCTGTCCAGTTGTTAGCACAAACAGAATAGCCCCAAGTTTTTGAAGACTAACATAAATGCTATATAATACACAGACATGTGTACTCACATGCACACATTCCAATAGAACTATAAAATATAGACGTGTACACACAGTAATACAATATATTTAATCTATTAAGCATTTGCCGTACTTTGTTTTCAGTGTTTGCACATTGGTTTATATAATGGATGAAAGTTATACAAAGAAAATACTGTGAATAGATAATGTACCTGTATTCTCTAAACCATGCTCTAGATAGTCCTGCATTGTGTAGGTATCTTGCAAATTCTGCTCTGATTTCGTGAGTGTGACTATGTGAGATTGTGTGCAAAATTTGGAGAATGGTCTGTAATGAAAGATAATGCTGTATTCTGTCCTCACCCAAGGTGTCCCCAGCTAAACACTGCTTTAGTTGAATTAAGGCATGTTCTAAACTTAAAACAACTAGAGTTGATCTCCAGTTTCAAGTTAGTTTCAATTAGTTTCAAGTCCAGCCTTCTTACTAGGTTCTAGGATAAAGTACTTAAAGATAGTGTGCCACAGTTAGAAGAGAAATAAACTCTGACATTAATACATCTCAACCATTTCTTTTAGGTATCTGAACTATAAAGTATACTGCATAACTTTTCACAAATTACTTCTATAGATTAAAATAAGAATTATCTAAGTACACATTAATTTTAATTTTCATGCTTTGCACAGGGTTTTTGCAATGTACAGTGAATCCAGATTTTGGTACATACCTGGAATACTTACAATGGTTTGTGGCCATTTAGAAAGCTTGTGCTGGTTTCCAAGTGAATCTAGAATCATCTGCAATTTCTGCTGGGGGGTTGAAAGTGTTTTGGCATTTTACATGGTATTGACCCTTAGCAGGCAAAGCAAAAAGGTTTTGTCGAGATTTGTTTTAGGTCCTCATTTAAACTTGAAAAAGCAAGCTCCACAACTGAGGAGTATGTGTACCCGTGAATGGAATTGAAAGAAAGTTCATATGAATCTCATAAAAGCCCAAACAACCATTTTTTGTGTGACTCACTTTAATTTTGCCATCAGGAATTGCATTGCTTTGACATGTTTTGATAAAACATGGTGAAATCTGTTGTGTATCCTATAATACAGGATATCACTTCCGTATATATCTCAATGTGGTTTTGATATAGTAGTTAACAATATTTAATGTTAAAGCTGTAAGACCTCACATAAATATTGTAAAGATGTACATCCTGCAGAGCAGCCAGGATGAAAAATGTAAACCAGCAATAACTGGAGGTGGAAATGGAAATGAAACCTTTACAAAATACGGAAATATGTGCCATATTGAAGTTGTTAAGGTACAACAGAAATCTGAATGCAATTTAAGGAGAAGTTTAGGCAGGGAAGGGGAAAATCTTCTGATGTACCAATAGTACTTATAGACAGAAGCTCCTAGCTAGCGTTCAGGTTTCCTTGCAAGCAGTTGAGTGGAACGCTGGTGAAGGAAAGTACTCTGAAGAATTTTTATTTACTCTTCAAACAATTCTGCACAATGGTGTCATAGTTTAAGCCCAGCCGGTAATAAAGCACCATGCTGCCGCTCGCTCACTCCCCCCTCCCCAGCTACGGTGGGATGAGGAGAAAATACAAAGGAAGGCTCGTGGGTCCAGATAAGGACTGGGAGGGATCACTCACCACTTATGGTCACGGGAAAAAGA